TAGATTCGGTACAAAGCCTAATTACATTAAAGTCCCCCCCAAGACACCAAGGACCCTCCCACAAACCTCGTATGGCATACAACTCTTCCCACATCTCATTCCTCTCTCTATACGAGTTTGGCCCATAGACATTGGTTAAGACCTAGGTGAAGCCATCCCCCACATTCCTAACCTTTAAGGACACAGAAAATCTTCCTATTAGCTCCTCCACTGATTCTACAGCATCTTCCCTTCCTAAGGTTACTAGACCTCCAGAGGCTCCATAGGACGACACTGAAGTCCAACAAACTCCTCTTGATCTCCATACACTTCTGATCCATCTTCTATCCAATTCTGCCAGCTTGGTTTCCTGCATCAAGACTATGTCCGGTTTCTCTCTCCTCAACAAATCTTTAATTGCCCTTCTCTTTCTTTCACTTCCCAAGTCTCTCACATTCCAGCTAATGATCTTCACCAAGCACTTTTTCAAAAAAACCCCTTCTCAAAGACTCCACCTTACATTAAAGTCTTTCTTCTTTCCCCTCTCCCACTAAATTCAATATCACCCTCAATATCTGAAATCAATCTCTCCACTTCAGATCTCTTTTTGTTTTTTCTCCTATTGTTACCCTTAGTCTTCCTCATTAAGGCACTAGCTTCATTTATCTCCCTCCCCAGATTAGAGCTCCTTTAATAGTCCTTTTCTTGAAAAGTTGTTACTCTCTCATTTTGATCTAATTTATCCTCCCTCTCTTTATACTCCTCCAACAACGCGCATATTCTCTCCCAAGTTCTCTCTAGTTCCTCCTTTTGTCCCTCTTCCACTGCCATCTCACCTTCTCTCGGTTCACACTAAGAGCTGCCAGTCTCTCTTCTCATCCCCCCACTGGAACTTCCGCTCGGGATGCTGGTGTATCAGTTTCAAGCACAGAAGGCACATTAGTAACCAAAACCGAATGGACAACAGTACCTGTAATGTTTGGGACTGAGGGGATGACTTCCAAGGGAGAGGGATTCTAGTAAGGAGATGGGCCTAAAGCTGTTCCCTGTGACTGAGCTTGTGTGAGAGAGTTTACACTGTGAATCAAAACCCTGTCTGTTTTAATAGGTGAAAGACTTCCATTTCTGTCCTTCTTCTAGTGTTACATTGCAGGTTGGAGTGTGGGCGTATCCTGCTCTTCCTACACTAATGGACTAACTTCCTTTGCAGGTACAAGCGGCACCTGAACCGTAGCCTTAGGCAACTGATCTTTAACCTTCACGATGTCTTCCTTGAACTTTGGTGCCCCGTCTTCTTTCTTGTTCTCTTGAAAAAGTACCTCTGTTCCCAGACTGTCTTCATCAAACACATTCCTTGAGCTGCTTAGGTCAATACTCCCTAAACTTAGTGTGTCATCTGAATCAACGGCACTGAAATCTTCCTCCTTAGAATGAGAAAACAACTCCAGCCTCTCTAAATCCCTTTGTTTGATACACCTAGGGTTTCTTTTTTCCGGTGACATCGTGTTCGTCTACCCAGCGCGACCCATTGTAGTGAGTTCCCAGGTACAGGGAGATTCGAAGACTGCTGGTTTCGGCCTGTGGAGCTCAACGAAGATGATGATAGATGGTTGTTACCATCTATTGACACCACTCTCCCCCTCGTGTGCCAACTTAAAGGTGCATTGGGTCCCTTAGATGGGCTTTTAATTTTGGCCCAAATCTCATTTTAATATGAGACTCCCCCTGTCCCACCTTAGATAGGCCCACAATGGGCGGCCCACTATGAGTTTTCCCCACTCTTCTATAAGTTGGCCCGATTTTCTTGGGCCTACCTCTTTGAAAAGGCCCACTCCTACCTGGACAAGATTGGGGAAAGACTGGGTCCTATTGGTGATGCCCGACTTTTCAACTCCCCTACTCCCTTTTTCCTTTGATTCAAGAAGTTTTATTTGCCCCTTTTCACCATCTGTCCTGCGACCAGGTGTGCTTAATGCAGAACCTTTACCGCCATTAGTAACTGCTAAAACATAAGATCTGTCAGACCTCCAGCTAAAGTCTTGTGAAGCACGTCTCCGATTTTCCTTCTTCAGCAAAGCTTTTGAATTTCCAAAAGCTTGCTCTCCCTTTTTTGTGAAAGTGTCTAATCCTTGCAGATCTACCAATCCCCTTCTGCTACATAATGCTTCTTCCTCGACCTCCCCATCTTCCTCCCTTCGAGCTTCCCTCCACATTCCAGCTTCAATGGAGGAAGCCAACCAGACCTCCATGAAGGCTCCTTCCACTCTCAAGTTTACCTTCCTGGGAATTTCCTCCGGCTTTACTCCATTTAATAATATAGCTGCAGATCTGAGGTCTCCCCAAAAGGCACCGGATAGTCTTGCTTCGCACAATACTGCAATAGCTTTTGCAACTCCAACCTTCCAAAGATGGAAAGGTAGCCCAACCACATGCACTGTTACTCCATCCATTATCATGGATTCCTTCGAGTTTGACGAGGGAGACCATCTGAATATATTCACAGACCCCAGTTTATCTTGCAGACATACAACCTCAAGATTTGGCTTGTTATCCAAAGGATCAAGTACCGCTTTGCGCTCATTAAACGGGGTTAATACATATGTAGTCTTCATCTTCAGTTGTTTTGTCACCAAATTAGCAATCTCCTTCCAGCTTCTCCCTGGTTTGTCAACTTCAACAATCAGTTTGTTCGCCCAATCTCCTTTTTCCTTCGATACAAGTATGGCCGCTCTATTTCCATCCTGCGCCAAGGTAGGAACCATTCGATTAGGGGGTTCAGAATTCACTACTGTTTTCGAGTGAACCTTTTTTTCCACCTGATCCAAACCTTTCTCCTTTTCCATTTTCGTTCTCGATAGAAACTCTCTCAAGACTTTGACGATTTCAGTCCACCCTTGGCTCTTTCTTCCTTCTGGTACATAGACCATTTGCTTCCTATTGTTACCAAAATGCTCTGTAAGTGCTATGAATCAACCCTTATGATTTTTCCTGCATTCCACCTCATACCTCCGTCCCATCTCTGTTATGAATTCTTTCCAACATCTCTCCTTTCCCTTTGCACTGGCTGCATCTACAAAGTTTAGGAACCATTCTACCATGTTTAGTCCTACCAACAACACCGCAGCTAGCTTAGCTTCCCTGTTTTTCAAGCTAGTCTGCCCTCTAATTTTTAGTTCTTCCAGTAGAAAGTTCTTCGCCTCCACCTTGAGATACTTCCTCCATCGGTTGGCTTCCACAAACTTCTTCTCCTCCATCCAACTTTCTGCTTCTTTTCCTTGGTTCTCCATTTTTTGTGAGATTTTTCTCCCTTGTCTTCTCTTCTTTCATACCAGATCTACAATGTTTCATACCGGAACCAGTTATTCAATCAATCCTTAAACTGTTGTGTAACTTTTTTTCCTCATTCTTGTGTTTTCCAAGATTTAACCTTGGGGATGACGATTGGTAAATGAGATATGGTTGATGGCCTCTACATCTTGGAGAATAAAGTTGTTCTTGCGACATCGGCTCCTATGAGTCTTATGAGTCAGTCTACAAAAACTCAATTGTGGTTGTGGCATAATCGCCTTGGTCATTTGTCCTTTGAGTCTTTGAAAGTTATGTTCCCTGAATTGTTCAAGTTTGTGTCTATCATTAGTTTGCATTGTCAAGCATGTCAGTTGAGTAAGCATTGTAGAACAACTTTTCCATCAAATAATAAAAGATCTACTTTACCTTTCCATGTTGTCTTTTCTGATGTTTGGGGCCTATCATACTTACTAAGGGTGGGTACAAGTATTTTATTAGCTTTATTGATAATTATTCGAGATACACTTGGATATATCCTATGCATTTCAGAGAAGAAGTACCCAAGATTGTGCAAGATTTCCACCGCATGATTTTTACTCAATTTCATGTTGAAGTCCAAATTTTCCAATCGGATAATGCGAAGGAATATTTCCATCATGACTTAGCTGAGTTTTTCTCCACTCATGGATCTCTTCATAGAAGCTCGTGTGCTAGAACACCACAACAGAATGGCGTTGCCGAAAGGAAGAACCAATATCTTCTTGAAGTTGACTGCAGTATGATGCTTCACATGCATGTTCCAAAACGTTTTTGGGTTGATGTTGTGATGGCCGCAGCTTATGTTATCAATTGTATGCCATCACATCTCTTGCAATACAAGGCCTCACATCAACTTCTTTTCCCTCAATCCCCTTTATTCTCTATTCCCCTATGTGTGTTTGGTTGTAAGTATTTTGTTCATGATCTATCTCCAAACCGGGGTAAATTTGATCATAAATCTATTCCATGTGTTTTCTTGGGTTATCCATCTTCCCAGAAGGGATACAGATGCTTCAATCCTATCACACATAAATACTTTGTATCAATGGATGTGTCCTTTTTTGAATCTGAATCCTTCTTCCATGTCTCTCCTCAGGGGGAGAACAGTGTGAAAGAGGAGAGGCAAGCTCCTCAAATTCCTCTTCCCTTTATTCATGACTCCTCTCCATTCCGTGTCTTCTTGAGGCACCATTAAGGACAACTGAATTCAAAGGTTGTGGAGCAGCTTGAGACTATACATCTAGCACCATTTGACTCCTTGAAGGAAAACCCAAGTACCCTTGTTCCCTTTGATATTACTGAACCTATTGCTATTGATGATTCTACTAATGATCTTGATGTCCCGATTGCTCATAGGAAAGGAGTTAGATCATGTACTACTAAGCATCATATTGCTTAGTTCTTGTCTTATGAAAACATTACACCCTCATTTCGTGCCTTTTTGACTGCCATTGATTGTGTCTCCATTCCCAAAAGTGTTGCAGAGGCCTTATCTATACCTGAATGGACAGAGGCAATGAAGGAAGAAATTGGTGCTCTATACAAAAACAACACTTGTGAGTTGGTGAATCTTCCTGAAGGCAAGGAGCCAATGAGGTGCAAATGGGTATTCACAGTAAAGCACAGAGCAGATCGGTCGGTTGGAAGATATAAGGCCAGGTTAGTTGCAAAAGGATATACATAGGTGTATGGGGTCGATTATGTAGAAACATTTGCCCCAGTTGCTAAAATGAACACTATTTGGATTATACTATCCTTGACTGTTAACTTTGATTGGGAACTCCACCAACTGGACATCAAAAATACGTTCTTGAATGGGGATCTGGAAGAAGAAGTTTACATGATTCATCCTCCTGGGTTTGTAGCACACAGGTGTGAAGGGAAAGTTTGCAAACTAAAAAAATCTTTATATGGTTTGGAACAATCCTCAAGGGCCTGGTTCAGCAGATTTCACTTGGCTCTTCAACAAATTGGGTTGAAGCAGTGCCAATCTGACCATACTCTATTTGTTAAAAGAAACTAGAAGAATGTTGTGGTATTGGTTGTCTACGTTGATGACATTGTGATTACTAGGAATTGGGACTCTGAGATTCAAAAGGTTAAAGACTCCCTCGCTATGCAGTTTGAGGTGAAAGATCTGGGACAGCTACATTATTTCTTTGGTATTGAAGTTGGCCGCTCAAAAAAGGGCATCTTCATTTCCCAAAGGAATTATGTCCTAGATCTCTTGCAGGACATGGGAAAGTTAGGAGCAAAGCCTGTAGATTCCCCTATTGAGGAAAACCATCGGCTTGGTGATTGTATTGGAGAACCAGTGACAGATGTCAAGAAGTTTCAAAGGTTGGTAGGAAGACTTTTTTACCTATCAATGACTCGACTAGATATAGCTTATGTTGTTGGTGTCCTTAGTTAGTTTATGGATGCACCAACATCCTCCCATTTAGAGGTAGTTGAGAGAGTACTTTGATATCTAAATAAATATCTAGGAACTGGGTTACTTTTCAAGAAACATGGTCATATGAAAGTGGAAGTCTACACAAATGCAGATTGGGCTGGAGCAGTTGATGATAGGAAATGAACTAGTGGATATTGTACCTTTGTTAGTGGAAACTTGGTCACTTGGAGAAGCAAAAAACAAAGTGTAGTGGCCAGATCTAGTGTTGAGGCTGAGTATAGGGCCATGGCACATGGAATTGCTGAAGTGCTATGGGTAAAAATTTTGATTGGAGAGTTGGGCTTCTTTGTTGATGGTCCAATGTCTCTCTACTGTGACAACAAGGCAGCCATTAATATTGCAACCAATCCAGTTCTTCATGACAGGACCAAGCATATTGAAGTTGACAAGCATTTCATAAGGGAAAAACTTGAAAATGGGGAAGTTTGTACTTCTTACATCAGTTCCAAGGAACAATTAACTGATGTCCTTACAAAGGGTTTTTACTATTTGCAACATAATGAATTGTGTGACAAGTTGGGCATGATTGACATATATGCTCCGACTTGAGGGGGAATGTTTTAATATGTGGTGGCCTAGTAAGGGCATTTTTGGTTTTTTCCTATGTTATTTGTTATAAGCTGTCGCCCTAAGTATAAATATTAACTTAGGGTGCTGCCAGCCTCACAACAGAATAGAACTCTCTTTCTTCTCTTTCCCTTCTTCTTTTTTCTCTCTTTTATTACTGTTGAACTACATATATATTCATTTTTTTACCATCAATTTAATAAAATTCTTTGGAAGTTAAGAGTAAAGGAATTGCAAAAGTTGACTGAATATTGTAATGTTCTAATCATCAGCTACTTTCTTATACTCCATGTGAACATGTTATCTAACTTGGAAAAGAAAATGAGATAAGAACGTAATTGATTCAACTTGTCACATGCCATCCTTGCATGGGTTTCTATCAATCTAAATGGTATGCCATATTCTGTACTTTTGCCATGCCAAACATATTGTGACACTTTTAAATATAAATTAAGTATTTCTTATTTGCATACCACTTATATTGGCTTGTGTTAACTTTTAAGTAATATTTTTGTGAAATTGTGCATTCATATGGACAAAATATTTAATTGTAAAGATAGTGGGGGAGGGAAACTTGCTTATAGATGGAAGTTGAAAACTTGTAGTTTTAAGGTATAGTTATGGCTATTCATAAAAAATAAAGAAGGTACTTAAGGCAGTCTGTTTTTATTGCTATCCCTTTGCTTACCTATTCTTGACCTTGTCTGGTTTCTGTATGTATGCATGTATATCATTTATCTTTTATTTCATAATAAGGTCTTTGTTGCTTTTATGAAACTAAAATAATATATAAAATATTTGGAGCTTATACCCTCTTTTTTTCCACAAGTCATGATAAAAACTACTGCCAAACTTAAGATGACCATGAGAGGTGATCGTTCAAAACTTGCTAACTAAATCTGGTTGGTGTATGCAGGGTATCATGTATGCACAACTATTGGGAAAGCTTCAAGTGTTAATGTTAATCTCATTGGTAACATAATTTCCTCATCCTCTAGCCATTTCTCCTTTTTCTATTCCCTCTTTCTACCAGTGGAAATAGAATATCAAGTTTTCTTAGCATCATAACTTCGCTTTTGTTATGTCACCATGCAATGGAAAGTCTATTTAGTCTGGTTATATCAGATATCATCTGTCTTTTTCCTTCTTGGAGGGAAATTGACTTGGTGGTTAAGAGTTGGTAAATACTGTTTGTTTTGATAAACGAAGAAATTTATTAATCACTGAAAATAGGAAGAGTTGGTAAATACTGTTATTGAATTCAAATATTGTGTCAACATCCATGGACTTCAGAAAGTTGGCATCTTCCTACTTATATACACTATTGGTGTTTGTATTTTCACTGTGTATTTATATTCATTTTGTGTTGGTATTTGTATTTGGGTATAGATCAATAAAGACTCATGATACATATATGGGACTATATATCCATATATTATCTGATAATTGGTCCAATCAAATACCCAACTACTTGGATAAGCATGTTCTGTTTGTTGTCCTATACATCATCATCATCATCCATGCCTCATCCCAACTATATGGGTTTGGCTACACGAATCCTATTTCACCAATCCATTCTATTTAAAGCCATAGTCACTGCTAAACTATTAGTGCTTAAATCATTTCTTACTATTTCTACCCATATCCTTTTTGGTCTGCCCCTAACTCTTCTAGCCCCTTCCACTTGTAACAAACTACTTCTAACTGGAGCTGTTGGTGGTCTTCTATACACGTGGCTTAACCATCTGAGTCTACACTCTCTCTCTCATTTTATTACTTATTGGAGCTACTCCTAGGTTTCTATGGATGGCTTCATTCTTGATCCTATATTTTCTAGTTTCTCCACTCATCCATCTTTGCATTTGCATTTCTGCCACACTCATTTTCTGAACATGTTATTTGTTGACTGCCCAACACCTTTTTCCATACAACATAGCTAGCCTTACAATTGTTTTGTAGATTTTTCCTTGTAATCTAAGTGGTATTCTCCAATCACACGAAAGTCTAGATGCACCCGTCCATTTTTCCTAACCTTCTTGGGGTGACATTCTCCTCAATCTCTCCCTTGTTATGAATTATTGAACCAAGGTACTGAAAATGGTCACATTGAGTTATCTGTTGGTCTCCAATCCTAAGTGTATCTTGATTTACACTCCTATTATTACTAAATTTACATGTCATATACTCTACTTTAGTCCTACTTATTTTAAAACTTTTTGTTTCTAGGGCATTTGTCCATTAGCTTAATTTTGCATATAATCCTTCATTAGTTTCAGCAATTAAAACAATGTCATTTGCAAACAACATGCACCATGGAACTTCTTCCTAAATATGTTTAGTCAATTCATCTATGACCAGAGCAAATAGATGAGGGCTAAGTGCTGAACCTTGGTGAAGATCCATGCAATTGTAAAATCTGAAGTCTCTACCACTAGTGTTCTAACATTGGTTGTTGCCCTCACTGATAAAAAAAACATTGGTTGTTGCCCCCTCATACATATCCTATCTGCATACCTATTTTGAACCCCTTTCTTTTCCAAGATCCACCATTTTCTCTCTCTAGGAACTCTATCATAAGCTTTTTCTAGATTAATGGACATCATATGAAGATCTTTCTTCTTCTCTCTGAACTTTTCTATCAATCGTCTCAAAAGAAATATAGCTTCCATGGTTGATCTCCCTAGCATAAAGCCAAAATTGGTTCTTTGATATACTTGTTTCAATTCATAGTCTGTTCAGTTATTCTCTTCCAATGTTTCTTAATGTGGCCCATGTGTGATTGATCTTTTTTCTTTCATTTCTAATTAATTTGACAGATAGAGAAGATCCCCAAAAGGGTGTTAATGTTAGGATGTCAAGTAGTGGCTCTAAGGGTAACTGTTCATTGACAGTATCCGTTTTCTGTGATTCAAATGGAGTTGAAGTAAGTGAAGTAATCTATTACACATATTTATCTTTTAAAGAAGTTTATGCATATGCCTTTTGGCCTAAGATTTCCTGAAAAAAATTCTTTTTTCCCTCCTTTTTGATGACAGGGACCATACTCATTGGAGAAATCAGGGACATGTGACTATGTATGTGAATACAAACCTTTTCTGTTCCTTGAGTGTTTATGTTTTATTATTTTGAGGAATTTTCATTTGTAGATTCTATTTTTGGGTTGTGTACACATGGAACTGATCTGTGTAAATGTTTGTTATTCTGTTTTTCACCTTTTCTTTATCCTAGTTCATCCTATAATTACACAACTCTCTGATAATGCTGGGTTCCAAGGGAAGTTGGTAGAAGTAACTTAAGTACTTCAACAGATATTGGCCTTCTAGGATTCAGAGTTGGATGTATAATCATGAGTCATGGTATGTGCCTTAATTCTATGCATGGTATCTGTACAGTTCTATAGATTTTTCATGTCTTACGATATTGCCTTCAAAGACCAATGGCTAGACATGCAGTATCACCTAGATGGTATCCACCTTTGATGGATATCAAAAGGATGAATTTCTGTGCCAGTTGGAATTGGAGACTCAACAAGGGCTGAGTTGTGGGCGGTGGTAGAAGGACTAAGAAGGGCAAAAGGGTTGAATTTGAGAAATCTTATATTGAAGGAGATTCTTGTATTGTAGTTGGATGGTTAAAGGAAAACAAGGAGGACTCTTGGAGGTACAAGCATGTTATAAGAGAGATAAGAAAAACTAATGAGAGAGTTGACAGCCATAGCTACTTGGATATCACCTTCAGTCAATGGACTAGTAGAAAGTTTGGCAAAAGAAGGGGGCATTAAGAAATGAGATGTCCTGGGGGACTGATCCCCCAAGATAATCTGGGATAGGTGGCTGAGGCTAGCCACCTTGTGGGGAAACATAACAACTCCTTGTACTTTATTCATATATATAAAATCAGAACAGTTATTCATAAAAAAAAAAAATTCTACATAGCTGTGTAAGATGCAAGTAAACCTTGGGGGTTTGGTATAGACTTGGGCCCATGTGGAAGTGGAATTTTTTTTTCTTTTGCTCAAAACTAATAAATACATTTAAATTCATGTAAACATCATTATTAAATCCATGGAAGCTTATAGAAACATTTTAAAATTATGGAAACCACAAAATGCTGGAAATTTACAAATTACAATAAAAGTTTGAAAAAGATACAGTAAATATCAAACACACTTAAGATTCATTATATAACCAAAATAACTATTTAAAATAGGAAAGGAAATGTAGAAAGTGGTTTACATCATTGTGTATGATATTCTTATAACATCTAGACCGTATATAAATAAATAATTCATAGTCATTGTAATAAGTATGCATCTTTCGTGGAAGAAAATACAACTAATATACAGTTATTCTCACTTGTGGTTTTTAAATATTTCTGTTTTCGTTTATTGGTTTCTAAGGGGCCATTTGAGAACAGCTGAAATGGCTGAATTGAATGACTTGTTGCTTTGTCTCTGGTGAATAAGTTATTAAGTAGGTTTTTACCTCCTTAATTTCTGAAGCTGAAGTTGAGTTGATTAGTATGCCCTCAAATATTTTATTGTATAATTATATTATGCACTAAAAGACCAAGCAATAAGTCATTCTGTTCAACTGCTTTAGCTGTTATCAAACAGCCACAAAGTTTTAGAAAAAACTTGACCCTTTTAGTATTGTTGAAGCAAATACCGTTTTCTCTATTATTCTTTTAGATTTTTTGTTGGCATTATTTTCATGTTAAGTCATGTATTTTTATGCTATAGGTGTAATTTTTGATTGAAACAATCAAAACTTTTTCATAATAAGATTTTTTGGAAAGGTCCTTGCCACCAAAAATTAAAGCTTTTTGTTTTGAGGGCTTTACAATGGGATTTCACCAAGGCTCAGGACTTAGCCTTTATTTATTTGCACTAATCATGGATGGACCGACTAAATATATTTAAGAGGTTCCATGGTGTACGCTGTTTGCTGATGACCGTATTAATTGATAAAACTAGAGTAGATTAAATGCAAAATTAGATTAATGGAATGTAAATTTAATAATATTAGGAGCAGAAATCAGGATACACTTTCTTTTTTTTTTCTTTTTTATTTACCACCAAAAAAAATCAAGGTATGCTTAAAATTGGAGGCAAGAGATATCTCAATGTGACCTCTTTCATTACCTTGGTTTGATAATAAATAACAAAGGAGAGATAAAGGAGGATGTTACTCATAAAATTAGAGCAAGATGAGCAAAATGGAGGGGTGCATATGGAATCTCATGTGATGGGAGAATACCATTTAGCTAAAGGGAAAAACTTTTAAAACAACTATAAGACCAGAAATGTTATATGGAGCAGAGTGTTGGGCAACTAAGAAACATGTCCAAAAAATGAGTGTGGCAGAAATGTGAATGCTGAGACAGATGAGTTTGAAAGCTATAAAGGATAGGATCATAAATTAATTTTTCAAAGAAACCTAGGGGTAACTCCAATAGATGATAAAATGAGGGAACGTAGTAGACTAAGATGGTTTGGGCACATGTAGAGAAGATCATTTACAGCACAAGTGATGTTACAAGTTGAAGGCACTAGAAGAGCTAAGGGCACACCAAAAAGGACATGGGCTAAGTGGTGAGCAATAATTTATGTTACTAAACAGAAAGGAATGACAAAACAGGCTTATGTAGCTGGCCCCAAATGGTTTGGACTTTGGACAAGGCTTAGATGATGACGATGATGTTTTATTGCTGAGTCATCATCTGTAATTAGTAATTTATCATAACCTATTGGAATCTACTTGGTTCTACAGATGGCTTTTGGGGCTGGAGTTAGGCTCTCTTTCTCTCTCTCTCTCGTTTGTTCAATGCACATAATTAGCAACTGATCAGAGATTTATTAATAAAAAACCAAGTAGAATACAAAGCATTGTATAGGATATTACCTATCCTAAATAAAAGGGAGAAAACGGGAAAAAAGGGTCAGCCTAAGTTATATTTTATCCAAATCCATAAAAGAAAGGCCAAAACAAGCAGAAGTTAGGTTTTTGACCCCCACCTTTGGGGGGTGGGGTTAGGTTTTGCATTTATTTTTGAGAGAAAGAGTAACTGATTGTAATGTATTAAAAAACAGAGTACATGAGAAAATGTACAAAGGAAGCCACACAGGTTACCAAGGCATAATTCTGTCACTGTAGAAACTTTCCCTGTGAACACCAGATTTAGCCAAGCTATCTGCTACAGAATTTAACTCCCTAGGAATCCAGATTAGCTTTACATTCAAGGACTCCAACAGATCTCTTGCCTTGTCCAAGTAGTGAGAAAATCTCCAAGGCCCACCTTCCTTCTCCCCTGGCCACTTTATGATGTTTAATAGAATCACCTTTGATTACTACAATAGTCAAACCTAGATCTCTTGTGATACAGAGACCAGTTAGCAGTTAGCACAGATAAGATTTCATCCTTTGTAGAATCAGCAGTCCCAATTGGTCCACTAAAGACCCACAAAAGGCTTCCATCCCTTCTCTTAAACACACCACCAATTCCTGCTGTTTCTGGGTTTCCAGATTTCAGAGAGCACTTTCATCAAAGTTCAGTCACCTCCTCCTCTTCTCTTGTCTGAGGGAGGCTTGTAACTCTTATAGGACTGGGTGAAGAGAATAACAACTCCACCACATTCTGCTGAAGCATATTTAAAGTGATTCCTTTAAAATTCTCCGAATTCAGCACCCACAGATTGCACAGGTTTTGCATTTCTTTCTTTCTTTACATTGGGGTTTACTGCATGAGCTTGCATGTATGGCTTGGTTTTGTGAAAGAACAGAGCAAGAGGAACTGAGTTAAAACGGGTTATCTGTGTTGAAGAACTTTGGATAAAGTAAAACACTATCTTTCGTCCACAGGGATTTGGCATAATGGATTTGAAAACATTAATCATGGTGTGATCTTGGATTGTTTAGATATATTTCTCTCTGTAAATTCTAGGTCAACCTTGCTGAAAGGAAACAAAAAGAGAAGTAAAAAAGGAGGGTGAATTTGAAGTCTTAGGGAAAGATGACAACCTGATTACAGAAGTTGAGGAAAGGAAGATTGGTAGTGGGGATTTATGGAAAATTGTTGATAGGGACGTGGAGGTTGGCAAGATTTTGGGTCTATTTTTGTGGGGCAGTGAGACCAGAAGGGCTTTTGAAGAATTCAGAAAAGGAAAAAGGAGGAGAGGCTGAAGAAATCCACCTCAGGGGGAGGAGGAGAGGCATGGGCCAAGGGAAAAGTACATGAACATGCATTAGATGGGGAGGACTAATTTTGATTGATGGGAGGTTTTGTGGAGCTTGGCTTCTTTGAGTTTAGAGAGGGGAGCTGAGATCTCCATTTAGTTAGTCTAATGGGGTTGGTTGGATTGCTTGAATTTTAAACAGGGTTTGCCATTGCTTTTGGTTGGTTCTTGGGATGTGTTTCATATTTAGTCTTTGAGTCATGCTTTTTTGTTCAGTCTCTGCTGTAAGGTTATGTTGTGAGTTGGTAGCTGTTTTGGGAGTTTTTTAGTTTCTTCTCTCAGGTGATGTCTTATCACATTTCTCTTGTATTCTCTTTTTCGATTTTAATGGAAATTTTATTTTACTATAAAAAAGGAAAAGGAAAAGAAAAGAAAAGAACAGAAAAGAAAAATAGACAAAAAAACTTGTATGATTCAGAAGTAGGAATACATCTATGGAACAAATCCTAACTGCTTTGGGAAAAGAGATTCATAAATATTGGGGTTCCCTTCTACCTTATCTCTTTAAGCAGTTAAAACTATTCTGTGTCCCAATTAAGAATATAAATAACAATTCAAATACCAGTATTCCCTCCCTCTCTCCCCCTGCAATAATACAAGGCAGATACAATAATGCTCTCATTTTTCTGGTGTCTTTATTTCAACAATTAATAGCTCATCTAGTTTGCATGTCATTACTTCTATATGAAATTCATCATTTCTGGTTTCTTAGATAAACAACAATCAAGTAACTAGTGAGTTATTGCTTTAATTGAGGTTCAAGTATTCATTGGGTGTGCCAAAAAGTATTCATTGGGTGAAGACAATGGAAGAATTTTCTTGTTTCCCAGCAGTGGATACCATTAGATGATGGTCAATAGTCATTTCTACATCTATGCAGAGGGATTTATGCATTATACCATGGACCCCTTCTCCTACGTAGGATTAAGATGAATTTTGATGGATGCATCCTTGGAAACCCAGGGAAGTCAGAATTTAGGGTGTTTTCAGGGACATGGAGGAAACATTGTCATGGCTTTTTTGGGACCATTAGGTATTAGCAACTCAGTAAGGATAGAGTAATATGCTGACATGGCATGAGGATAGCAATTTGATTGTTGAAGGGGGTGCTGAACTTTATAGGATGGTTGAGAGGTGAGGTGGGACCTTGGAGCTTCAGACATCAGCTTAGGAAGACAAGATTCCTGGCTAGAAGATTGCAGGCTGAGTTTTTGTGGATCGCAAAGCCTGCCAATTCCCTTGCAGACTTATTAGCTCAGGAAGGTGTTAAATTTTTTTTTGAAGAGCAAAAGTAACAGATTTCATTAAACCAAAAAAAAGGATATTACAATCTAAGAGGTGTCAATTGGATTTCAAGTACATTCCAGAAACTCTCCCCCAGATCTGCCCGATTAATTTGAGCAAAATCTGGGAGCACCAAAACCCAACCCAACACTAGTTTTCCAACCGAAGCCACCAACATCTCAATGCTCTTGGACTTATTTTCAAATAGCCTTCTATTCCTTTCATTCCAGATGACCCAACATACTGCAAATGGGTTGTAGCTCCAAACTATCCTTGCTTTCTTGCTACCTCTGAGCTTTGGCCAGCTAGAGAAAAATTCTGTTGTGGATCTTGGCTGAAATGCTGACCCCAAACAGGGCAGCCCAGTGCATGAGGCTTCCGCCAATGCCGGGCCTGGGGAGGGACAGATATGTGCAGCCTTACACCTCTGTGCATAGCTGCATACAGAGAGGCTGAACCCTGGTCACCCAGGTCACAATGAAGCAACCCAACTGTTGCACCAAGGCCCACCTTCCTCTAACCCCAAATAGGAATGAATAAAATTTCTAGATGAAATTTGCAATCTTGCAAGAGAAGAGCAAATGGCAGACTGTCTCCTCATCTGAATGGCATAAGTAACAGTAGCTCACCATGTTAAAGCCCCTACTCTAGTCCAAAGCAACTAGCCATGTGAAGGCTTTCATTCTAGGAGGAACTGGATTCCCCCAAATACCTTGTACTTGGTCTGAATCCAAATGATCTCTAATCAGCTTCAAGTAGAAAGATTTCACAGAAAACTTTTCATCCTTGCACTCCTTCCACCATAACCCATCCCTTGAAGAAACTGAAACCTTTGTTTGCTCGTGTCTGTCGAGTAACACTAAACATTCTTCCAGTTCCCAGTCCAGCAAAGGTCTTCTAAACTTAGGATGCCACACACCCACACCACCTCCCCCCAATCTCATAGGACTGATCAACCCTCACTTGATGTTCAGACAACCTGTAGAGCCTAGGGCACAGCTCACACAATTTCCCAACTCCACACCATTCATCCTCCCAAAATCTCAGCCTAGATCCATCTCCCACTTTAAAACTAACCAAGGACTTGAATTCTTGGTTAAATTTCATAATTCCTTTCCAAACACTCACCCCATAACAATTTGACACCTCCCTTGATTCCCACCCAAACCTCACCACCCCATTATCTTCCAACCACTACCCTCCTCCAAAGAGACTCCCTCTACCTCTCCAGCCCAAACCTCCACAACCATTTACTCAAAAGGGCCTTATTTAATAATCTTATCCTTCTGAATCCCAGCCCTCCTTCCTTTGGTCTACACACCTTGCCCCACTTTACCAAATGGAACTTCTTAGGATCCTCAACCCCTTCTCAGAGAAAATCCCTCTGTAATTTCTCTATCTTACCAAACACATCAGCTGGAATCTTCAGCAGCGAAAGGTAATAAGTCGATAAACTTGAAAGTACACTTCTGATGAGTGTGATTCTACACCTCAAAGAGAGATATTATGAATTCCATTTCTCCAGCCTCCTTTCCACCCTTTCTACAATTGGCCTCCAAACGCCAACAGCAGATGCCTTAGAACCTACCGGGAGACCCAGATATAAAAAAGGCAGCTCCCTGGTCTGACATTCAAAAACAGTTACAAACTGCTCTAGCTCTTCTCTCCGAACTTCCCCCACTCCAATTAAAAGGCTTTTGCTAAGTTAACTTTCAGCCTAGTTAACATTTCAAAGTTAGTCAAAAAATGGCTCTCAAACTCAGCACTTGATCCACTGTGGCATCCTAAAAAATGTCATCAGCGTACTGCAGAAGAGAAATATATGGCCCCTCTGAACCCACTTTAAAACCTTCAGGTGTTAATAGACAGCCTGAAATGTGGAGGACATCCATTATGTAACTTAATTGGACCACTTGGATATATTGGGGAGGGAGCAGCGTGGGGCTAGCTCCATAAAAGCTTTGCTATGGATAATGTATAATTTTTTATTTTACATTGTTGCTGTATATTTCTTTTTCTCATCAACAAAATTTCTCATGTTACTGAAAAAAATCTTTTTGTGGCCCTCTACAGGCCACAATTCTAAAACATCCTGCTGGTTGTGCCAAGATTATATCTGTTCACCGAAGGGGGTGGGGCTGGCTAGGTACTATAATAACAATGTAAGTTTTTCAATTAATTCCAAGTGTTATGAATTGCTTCAAAATGCATGTAGTATGTATTCGTAAGAACAATAGTTAACAAATGTTGCTCCTATTTTCAGAATTTTATGCCTTCTAGGAGGGTATTTGCTGGTCGGTGCAGTTTATCGATTTTTCTTCCTGGGTATTCGTGGAATAGAAGTAAGTTTTCTTTCACTTTGGTTCCCTTTTTTCTCTTGGTCTTCTTCCAGTCTAACATGTATGTAGTTTCCTTTGTTAATGGGGCCTCTGTAATACTGCTAATTTGCATCAATTTGTTCTTATGCCTTGTGTTTCCATGACCTGGATCACTATTGATGGTAATTGAATTTGATCAATCTGGTGCATGAAATTAAACATGCTTTTTACTTTAAGTCATGGTTCTTGAGGACCATCATGATAGCTGCATGTTGCACAATGACATAAATGCACTGGTTAGTGAGGCTGAGCCTGGACATCTACATCAGCAACCAATATGATGGTTGTATCAATTTGATGTATAAAACTCTTTTGGATGGTTGAATAATATAAAGTATGTCCATAAAGTCTAAAGGTCAAATAGATTGGGATCTTTGGCCATCGAAACTGGTTGTTGGTTTCCCTGTGAGATCTCCTAGGTGGGGGCCATTCAAATGGTGGGCTCTACTCCTTGTCTACTGCACGTATATATCCTGGTGTCTTTAAACCATAGCTACAGAACTTCAAATTAAATGTTATATTACCATCCATTGTTTTGTCACCTCTAGCTTGTAACGAGCATTTTAGACTTGATGAGACAACAAAATTCAAAGCTTGTGGCTACATTTTATATTAGGAAATGCTTGGAGAGTAAATATCCATCTTTTCTGGTTCTGTTTGGAAATATATACAATTACTTACGTGAATTTTGTTATCCTCTTTTTCCAGGTCATTCCGAACTTGGAGTTTTGGCTTAGTTTACCACAAAGAACAAAGGTAACCTTAAGATGACATTTGTGGTCTTTTTTTTTTTCCTCTTTGGTATTGTGCTACGAAACACCATTGGAAGGAGCTACTGCTTGTGTCAGACTTCACTCACTTGGCCTAGCAATGGGTTTAACTGGTTTCTTATGAAAGGATTATGGTGGGTTAGGAACAGGGGATGTGGATTTAGAGATCAAGTATAGATATACTGGAGCTTTTATCTTTTTCCTCCCTCTTCTTTACCCCCCCCCTCCCCCGGAAATAAATAAAAAGGGAAAAACCAACAATGAAGTGATTGGAGATAGATATAGATATGCAATAATTTTTTTTATTGATAATGGATCAATGAGAGATTATTAAACAAAAGCTAAAGCATTATCAATAATCAATCATGTGGTAGTTAGGATATTTTTTTTTTGATAAATAATATCACATTTCATTAAGATCAAGAGAAAGATACAGTCCCTTGGAGAGGCATGAGGTGCCACCTCTCCAACACAGTAAACCCAGTGCTACTATTCTCTTAGACACATAGTAAAGTGATTTGATTGTAACTATAAAAAATATTAGATACCAAGACTGAAAGATATTTGGATCAAAATGAACCTTACACACATACCTTTCTAGAATTAAAGCTGAAGAAAATGATTAAATTTCACAAATGCCTGCCCTATGGGTAGAATCCCAGTAAAAATCTACTGTATTAGCTCTGTCTTTCCAAAGAATCTACTAAAGAGTTTGCAGATCTAGGTATCCATTTAAATGAGGTGTTCTTGCTGGGTACGAAGTTATAACCTCTTTTATCATGTATAGATGTAACTGATTATATTAAAAAGAAAGGGAGGGGTACATGAGAAAATGCACAACTCCAAGGTGCAGGTGGATCCTGCAAAAACTAAAATGGTAGAGAATTATTACTATACCTTTTTTTTTGAAAAAGGTAAAGTATCAATGTAATGCATTAATTAGCAAAAAGTATACATGGTCCTCTGTGCAAAAGAGATTCTGTACATTATATACATCTTAGGGACCCCCAAAAAAGTCTATTCTCAGAAGGATGAAGAAAATCCCTCCCTCTGAAGCAAATAAACTCTTGAATACATTACATCCAAATGAACTCCTGATTTAGCTAACCTGTCAGCAATAGAGTTCGGTTCCCAAGAGACCCAGAATAATTTTACAGCCATTGGGTTCACAATATCTCTAGCTTCTGACAAAAAGTGAGCCAGCCTCCAAGGACCACCGTCTTTTTCTCCCAACCATTTACAGTATTTGCTGAATCTCCTTCTAAGGTAAGAAGAGAAATGCCCAGCTTCATTGCAATACAGAGGCCAGTTAGGGTAGCTAGTACTTTAGTCTTAGCTGAGTCAGCTTCCCTGATTAGTCTACTTAAAACTCAACAGATGTTGCCCTCCTTGCTCTGTATTACTCCTCCAATACCAACTTTTCCAGGATTTCCCAAGCAACTTCCATCTAAGTTTAACCTCATCCCCTCTCCACCTCACACAAGTGGACCCAACTGGGGGGGGGGAGGGGGTAAAGAATGAGCGGAAAAAATATTAGATCTTAGACAGGTTTCTTTGGAAATCATTTAAGGATATTCCCCTGAACTCAGGAGAGCTTATGACCCAGGAGTTGCACATATAACTAATCAATTCTCCATTAGATTCTGATCCTGTTGTTGAAGATGTGATTGTTCCTCACCTTCCACACTCTCCACATCACTGCATGAGCAATGGGGTACCAGTAAATTTTCCCCCTTTTTCCAAAACATTTACCATGCCATTGCCAAAGGAACTCAATAATGTGCTCAGGAGCTATCCAAACTAACACTAGCCAAATCAAGGAAATAGTTCTATATTCTTTTGGTTTTCGAACAATGTAAGAGAAGATGCTCGGTGGTTTATCTTGGAGATACATAATACAAACAGCACGATAAATGCATAACCTATCACTATATTTTCTTTGGATGAGGGCACAAGTGTTTATTCTTCCCAAACAAGCCTCCCAATTCCCAACCTGCCAGCTCCCTTTGGCTTGCATACCTGATTCCAGCTAGCCAAGTGGTTCTTTTTCTCATTCCTTCCATCCCATAAGTATTTATGTTGAAGGATTTCTAGTCGGTTTTTGACTTTGGCTGGGATTTTTTGTTTTTTTGGAGAAAAAGTTAACCATATTTCGTTAGAAAAAATGGGAAGTACATGAGCAGATGTACTACAGAGGAAAGAGAACTCAAACAGCAGAAAAGCAAAATTACAAGGGGGGAAGCCTGTTGCTGTATAAATTTTCTAAACTTGCTCCAATTTTAGCTAATCCATCTGCAATATGATTCAACTCTCTGGGATTTGAAACACCAAAAGAAAGTAAATTGGTAGGTTAGAAAGGGTTTGACTTAATTAAAGTGAGTCTACCCCTTTCGAAAGGTAATTCTTCTTCCAAGTATCTGCCTCTTCTCACACTTCTCTGCGACTGGATCCCAAAAGCTCAAACTCCTTGGATCCACTGAGAGGCAATCCCAGACAGGTTAAAGGCAACTCCTCTAGTTTACAACCCAAGATTTCATTAAATCTGTTAAAACGACTAAGAACCCACTTACCATCTCAAAACAACTAAGAACCCACTTTAAATGGATGAGATTTGTCTTCCTTGGCTTCCAGGAACACAATAATATCATTTACAAATTGGAGATGAGATATCTGCACCCCTCCCTGCCTACCTCAAAGCCCTTCAGCAAATTTAACTCTTTTGCTTTCTTGAGATACTAACCACCACCAAGGTGAAGAGCAAGGTGATAAAGGACATCCTTATCTTAGCCCCAGACCACTGAAGTAGCCTCTATCCAACTTACCCTTTTTTGATAAATAACTGAAAAGGTTTGAACTTATCCATTTTAACCGAAATTTTTCAATGGCATTATTCTCAACAGGCATTCTCAATCTATTTTGTTATATGCCTTCTCAAGGTCATGTTTGATCACCACTCCTTGAATTCCCTTTTTCCTTCTAGCATCCACTCATTCATGGAATTCCTTTTCCCTTCATCCACTCAATTATCACTTAAAATCTCCTTCACCATTTAGTCTCTCATGATCCAAGAATTTGGCATGTTGACCTTGGTAGAAGGGAACATAGCTTTGCCTTTTATGGAGTTCCTAGTACCAATGGGATCCGTATGTATTACCAAGATTTCTCCATTGTGGTTCCAAAGTGCCCCATAAATTTTATGCCATGTTGTTGAGGTACCCAAGAGACATTCTTTTGAAAATGAGAAGTGCAACTAAAGCACAAATGGATCCTAGAGCCTTAGGTGCAAGGTGAGGTGCGTGCACTCAAATAAAGTGATAAGCCATTTTTGAAAAAATGATAACAGAAAATCCAATGCATAAGAATATACAACTTTAACATCTAAAAATTAAAAATGCCTATTACTTTAATTGGTTGGAGTGTTATGTTAAAATAAAACGACTGTAGAGTTGTAGGTTCAAGTCCTGAATAGGATAAATATTTACTCTAAGTATCATAACTATAATCTCAACTCAGCTTTACCTCAACCCCAATCTTTTGGAGTCGGCTTCACAAATCCTTTCTCACTATTGTACCCCTATGAAGAGTTAAGTTTTCTGTAAAACTACAAGTCCTTGGTTCATTTTATACTGCTTCAGTCCATGTTTTATTTGGTCTTTTCCTTACTCTTTTAGAGCCTTGTAATCGCTCCTTACTGTTACAATCATTGGCCATCTATGCAAATGACAAAACTGTCCCAGTCAACTTTCCTTCATCTTGTCACCAATAAGGGCTACTACTAAGTTCTCTCAAATGTGCTTCTTTCTAATTTTAGGGATGCAAACAATATCTGTTTGTCCAAATTAAAATTTGAGTCTGATCCAGTTAAAGGTGATCTGAATTCAATCCATTTGTAATTGGATCAGATGAGTAGAGTGGGGGAGAGAGTAAAACAAATAGAATAAAATTTTGGGATAGTAATATTTTCATGAATAACTGATTTTATTAAAGAAGAGACCTATAATATTTACAAAGATGCCAAAGCATCTTGTTTTCAGCAAGAAGAAGAAGAAGAAAAATGATGTGAGAGCCAAAAATCTTAATGCTGGCGGCACCCAGCAATGCTATTTAAATGTTAGGGCGATCAAGACAAAATTTAAAAAAAAAAAGAAAAAGACCAAAATGCCCTTCTGCGGCATATATTACATATTTCATCACTCCCCCTCAAGTTGGGGCGTAGATGTCAATCATCCCCAACTTGTCACAAAGATCGCACACTTGCCCCATCCCAATTTTCTCTCTGATGAAATGTTTGTCCACTTCAATATGCTTGGTTCTATCATGGAGAACTGGGTTGGCTGCGATGTTGATGGTAGCTTTTGTTATCACAATAGAGTGACATAGGATAATCAAAGGGAACCTAACTCACTCAATAGCTTCTTGATCCACAGTAACTCCACAACTCCATGTGACATAGCCCTGTATTCCGCCTTTGCACTTGACTTGGCCACCACACTCTGTTTTTTGCTTCTCCAAGTCACAAGGTTTCCACCAACAAAGGTACAATACCCGCTGGTGGATTTTCTGTCATCCACTGAGCCAACCCAATCTGCGTCAGTATACACCTCTACTCTCATGTGCCCATGTTTCTTAAAGAGTAAACCTGACCCTGGAAATTTCTTCAGGTACCTAAGAACTCTGTATGTTGCCTCTAGGTGTGCCCCCTTGGGTGCATGCATGAACTGACTGAGGGCACCCACAACATATGCTATGTCAGGCCTGGTCATGGATAGGTAGAGAAGCTTGCCTATAGGTAGGGAAACTTGCCTACAAGTCTTTGGTACTGCCTTGGATCTTTCAAGAATTCACCACTGCAATCCCCAAGTTTGTGATTAACATCTATAGGTGTGTCAGTTGGTTTAGCTCCTAGCTTCCCTGTACCCTTTAGGAGATCCAGGGTGTACTTCCTTTGGGAAATGAAGATGCCTTGCTGAGAGCGAGCAACTTCAA